TCACAAAATTTTATTGGGAGGTCCTCTGCAATTCTGCCTTTTTCTCCTTTCTACTCCACGATGAGATCATTTCCTCCTCTCTTTTCCTTCATCTTTTTACCATGTATGAACTGCTGTGGCTCATTCATTTCATTTCCAGATGAAAAAGTGATTTTACGACTTTAGCCTGATTACCAACTTGATAAGTTCCTTTTTTTGACGTAAACGAGACAACAATCCAGTGTTTCTCCTTTACATGTTTTTCACTCTCCCCCTTTGGAAAATGGTATTGAAGAATAGATTTGCTGCAAAATTGCTTCCTCTTCCTCGGAATTATTCTGAGAAAGAGTCTTCGTAAACATTTTTATTTTACTAATAGGCCTATCAGTTGCACACTCAAGCTGGATCTTGTGTCACTGGTACCAGACGGCAAGTAATCACTTCCAGAGATCAGCAACTATCTCGCTTTTTTTTTTTTTTTTTTTAATTTAGTAGCTATCTATACGATTAAAGAATATGAAATTTTCTCCGACATTTAACAAACAATTAATTTACTTCACGAACTTTGGTAACCTTCCAATTTAATAGAATAAGGACCCAGTGAAGGCCTTTTAGTTTTATTCATTAGATGAATTTGTTACAGTTTTGAAACCACTACATTTGTTCTTGTCATATAGTATATATGGAGTAATGAGTGCTATATACATAACAGTCATCAATCAACTTTCCAGTCGCTCGCCTTATTATACATTTAACTTCCAAGTTGGGATTTTCAGTTCATTTAAATTCCTTTTGCAAAACAGTGAGAAATGAAAGTTCTTTCTTTCTGATGATCAAAGAAGCAAAGAATGGGTGAAAGTTTGAAAGTTGGCCCAATCTGGCAATTATCTGCAACTCGTCTATATGTTATAGATGAGTCACACCTATCACAAACTTAAGCAAGCATGCACAAATCAGTTAGTAGGTGGATTCACTTCACACTTCAAGTCTTTCCCTACAATATGTACTGGGAAATGATTTTCATATATATGGTCTTTTTTAGCCCTTCATATCGTAGGAAGTTTATGCCTCTTGCAACGCATCGTATTTGGTCCGAATAATAGTAAACGCTTAACGGCGTAGGTAGAAAGTTCTTTCTTTCTGATGAAAGAAGCAAAGAATGAATAGAAGTTTCGAAAGATTCCCGAGAAGACAACTGTTGTTTTTTTTTCTTTGTTGAAATAGATAAGGTTAAAATGGGATGAGAAAGATTGAGTATGTAAAGTAGAGAATGTGAAAAAAACTATGAGAATTGAGCAAGTTTGTCTCGTATCATGAGAAACTTTTGAAATGATAACAACCACCCAAACGTTTGAAGGATTTCAATTTTCCAGAAGTATAACATGTAAAGATAATTGGGAATTGCTTTTTCAGGAAGTCATGCGGTATAACAACTTTCTCAAATGCTTTTACTGACACAAAGTCTCCCGCTAATGAAAGCCAGATTTTTAGATCACTTGAGTATTGAAATATCAAATGGTAGCTTTATGAAAAATAACTGTTACAATGATGGAGGATTAGAAAAAGCCACATCAATTTATTGAGAATCAAAAATTGCCTACTTTTTTCTTTATGTCAAAAATGAAATCACTCAGCTTTAAATGCGAGTTATAAAACTGGTTTCATTTTTTTTCTGTTCATTCAAAAAATGAACAGAAAAAACAGGATGAAGAAAAGCTTTGTACTTGAGAGATTGAACTACCAGCTTGCAAGATCTAAATTTTTTGCATCTGCCGGTAATTTCTTAATGAATCAACGAGACACTTTTCCCACAATAAATCATTGCATAACATAAATACGTTACGTGGACGTTCTTGTGTTCATTTTTCATTTAAAAGTGAATCATTGCAGATTTTAAATGTTCTGTGGGGATGAAAGTTCTATAGCTCTATTCTCATTTAACTCACTTTTTAAACCCTCAACTTTCAAGTGATGCTTATAGGCATTCACAGTCCTATCTGTATTCATAATTTGCTACTTTTATCATTTATGCACAGATAGTTCATGTGAACTTTGTTGTTAAATCGTATTTACAATCACTTATACAAATAGCAATAACAGTGGTAGCTACTGCCCACCCAACGACTGATTGATGATTGGAGAGAGGTCACTTCTAGCTTTAGTCTTTTTCTAAATCCCGCTGTTCACTGTCTCTTTAACAAGAAATGTTTATGCCATCAAATTTTATTTTCTTCATTTGAAAGCAGCATTTCTTATCCTTTTGGCATTCTCTATGTTACTTCTACACATGAATTCAATACACAATGCTACTGCATATTCTTTCAAAAATGGATTTTTTTTAAGGTTTTTTAGTGTCCAAAGATGATATCGATTAAGTTGCATTTTCCAATAATAACAGCTGCAAACCAGGAGCATGTTTCTAGAAGGAGATGGCTAATCAAGTTCTTTATTTTGAGCGCATTTGACACTGTGCAAATATTATTAGTAGTACCAATATTTAAATCAAATTCCTTTATATATGGATATTTATAAAAATCTTAATAACCTATCGATTGAAATGACTAGGCATTGACACTAGGGGAGTAGAGAAGTAGATATGATAAGCGGAAAAGCATTTTAATAATTTAAATGCAGCAGTGTGTCAATATTTGGACATATTCTGATGGAAAATGTTCGATGGAAATCTAATAATCATTCAAATGCATTTCACATTACGGATAGTGTGCGATAGACCTGATATAAAAATGAAAATTAATTGGCTTAACCAATCATTTAAATGTTTGTTTTGCATTTATTTCAAAGACCATATTGTAAATTTTTGCTAGCTAAATGTACGTCAAATTTTTGAGTGCTCAAATGCTTCACATTTCTTTCCAAAAATAAAAAAAATGATTGAATACTGTAAAATGTTATCCATTTATTAATTGTACAATAAAAATCAAGAGTATAAGCGTAGTTCATATTTTTGCTTCTCTAATCAGAGCCACTGCTTCTCTATTTTAATTTTATTTGACTCTTCTGTAGAAACGATATAACCTTTGAAAAGAAAAACACTAAGAGTCAATACATTATCAGCTACAATGAGAAATGATGAGAGTGTTTACAGATATGCGGGTAGTTCAAGATTGCAGGAAGTATATGCGTTTACTGAACGTTGCATATGAATTTAAACACTGGATTTTGATTGGAAATGATGAATACCCCAGATTATCAGACATAAAACATTGCTCACGCTTTACTTGATAATGACTCTGACATAAATATTAAAACGTAAGATTGACTATTGTGCATATTTCTCCTTTGGCTCTGTGATGATAGCTTGCGCTGTTGAATCTCTAAGCAACCTGCAAACGAACACAATCTGTAAACGCTATCAGATCTTACACTCTCATTTCACTTTTATTTCCTTAGTTTTTCGAACCTAACTATATTTTCAGCATAAAAAGAGCTGTAATGAAGTACTGCAGACTGTTAGTACATGATGAGAGTTAAATTTAGCAGAATGACTCGCTGATACCGTGAACCTCTTCACATGGGTCCATCTCTGACTTTTAGCATCACCGCAGGGAAAAGCATGAATATTTGTTGAATGTAATCGAATTGTATTGCAAAGCTACAGAAAGGGTTCATATACTGCAGTTGAAAACCGGCCCAAATTTGGTTGCCTATATGATGATTCATCGGTCTCCTTACTCTTGAAGTGCTGCAAGTTGCTGCTGATATTGATCGTTACTGGGTTTTTCATTACAAGCCTCCGTTCACGATATGTTTTGAAATATTCCTATGATTAAACCGGGTTTTCTTTCGGCTTTCTAGATAGCTTTCTGTACCTTACAGATAAATGATCAGCTATATTCGAATTAAGCACATTAGTACTAGGAATTCGTCTCCTTCAAAAAGAAACCATCACACAGAAGTAGGAGGGTTGCTCTTGTTTTTAGGCAAAACCGATTGGTTAAATTCCCTATTTTTTAAACAAAAATGATGGTCTTCTGTGTACTATCTCATACCAACATTCTTTTCAGTAGATTGGCAAGAAATTTCCATTATCCATGTCAGCATTACCTAATTTAGTATGAGATTCAGTATTTTCACTTAAACTTTTAAAAATAAGTCTGGTATTGCCACCAAAACAGATATTTAAAACCAGCTTTTTTCTCTCATCTAGCCGAATGCGTAATAACACGACGACAAAGCAGTGCTCATAACAAATAAGATTCGCTCACAGAGACAGCATTTCGACGAAGGAAGGGAGAACTCTCTAAATTAAGTAAAACCATTATGATTTGATATCATAAGAATGTATAAGTATACAGAGGGCGACTAATAAAGGGGGTAAGAAATATCTACATCTGAAGTTTGATGTGTTCTTTCATTTTGCATATCAGTTCATCCTACAGCACTTATAGGACGCTAGTTGACTTCTTCAACGTTTTTCTGCCATGCATTTCCTGCTTTTTGAAACTTGAACGCTTCAACCTCATGTAAAATAGAGATGCTTTCGTTTTATAACATGAATACTGTTTTGGAACGAAGTGGTATCGAAACATCTTAGCAATACTCTCAGTGGATGGTTGTTAGTACGCCATCACATAAGTAAGTAGACATTTAAGCTAAAGAAATGTCGAAAAACCTACTAAGGTGACTGTACTGTGAGCACCGCATTGCATGATTAGGTGCATGTCATCTGGATTCGTGTAATCGCATTCATGGCAGCATACGACGATATCTCGCCACGCCATAAAGAGCAAGTCACGCTCACAAATACATTTCACACTTCGTAGTATGCAACGAAAAACATCGTACGGCATCTCACAAAGTGGGTTGAATTTCAAATCAGAAATTGGAGGAAGTAAGAGGGTGGGATTGTGGTAAGGTTTCAGAAGTAAGTATTGTTAGAACTAGAAATATTAAAAGGAATCATTTAGTTACAATAATAATTGAGGTTAAGAAGAAAGTAAATATAACGGTTGAAGGAATGTAAAGACCAATAGGTAATGTGAGTGGGTTGATAGCGACAGATGAGACCTGCCCAGAGAAGAGATGATGTTACTTGGGACCAGAATGTCAGGATTTTGTGGTTGCTTATACGAACTTGGAAGGCGTCTTTTCAACTTATTTTTCCGTTTTCTGATTCCGGAACAGTAGTTGATATTCCAGAGTGTCTGCTGTACGAACTCTCGGTGTCAATGTTGACGAGAGAGCAAATCGTTGATCTTGCGGGAAGATTTTCGACAGTCAGTTCATGATTTCATTTTGTATTTCACATCAGTAACTGGCTTGTAGATGTAATATAGGTATCAATTATGAAGGTAAAAATGGGTCGATCCATAGTAATACGATTGTGTTAATTCGTCACTTTTATTTAGGTTGATGAAAGTGGCTGCGGTACAATACCAGTGGCAGATGTTCAAGAAGCACTTAAAATTGCAGGCATTGATCTTCCAGGTTTCCAGGTAAATTTGTAATTTTAATGAAATTAGCATCCAATGAGTGAAATGCGTCATTTTGCATAAAATTCTTTTAGTTTCGTGAGCTAATGAAGCGTTATGGGAACGCGAAGAACTTAGCATTCGATGACTTTCAAAATTTGTTTACTGAATTACGGAGCGAAAGAGATCAGGAAGTGAATGAATGGAAACAGCGCATTGGTTCAGTGACTGGTGCTTATACAGTAAAGGGATTATCAGAACAAAGTAACGAGGAAATCGTACATACCATTCGAGTCGAGGTCTGTACTTCTAAAACAAGCCCACAAAATTGTTTTGGTTTCTCTCGGAATTAAAATATCTTGGAAACATAAACTTTTTTGAAGGAGGAAGTAGCTTTTTCAAACTGGATCAACAGTAATTTGTGCGATGATGCAGATTTGAAAAATTTGGTGCCTGTAAAAACTGATGGTGGAGATCTTTATCATAAAGTGCAAGACGGCCTTATTATGTGGTAATGTTTCTTTGTTTGCTATACCAAATTTTTCTGTTCGGTTTGCATCTTAAAGAAGTAGAAGAGAGAAGTCGAATATTGCAGCATATCAGCTGGTGTTAGCAACTAAATTAGATTGTGGTCATTGCTTTGAATGCTGTTTATAGTAAACTCATCAATTTGGCAGTACCTGATACCATTGATGAAAGAGCCATTAACAAAAAGCATTTGAACACATATACAAAACTGGAGAATTTGACACTAGCACTTATGTCAGCACAAGCCATTGGTTGTAATATCGTTAATATCGATGGCGATGATCTGAGTAAAGGCAAGCCACATCTGGTACTTGGCCTTCTGTGGCAGATCATTCGGGTAAGTTTTGTAATTTTCGAACTGTGTTATGATTCAATATTTTTCTCTGAAAGAAGTGAAATCAAGCTTTCTATCATTATCTCGTTTTTGAGTCGTGTTTAACATAGCACAATGGAATTCTTGTTGTAGTTATATCTTAAACATTTAAAGTTAAGTAGCTGAACTGCACATCTGTTGGTTTTTGCTATAGAAATATTTATAAATAACACTAAGTAGATGCTTGACTGAAGACTGTTAAGTGATTCTTTCAAGTATTATAGATCGGTTTATTCAATCAAATTGACTTAAGACATGTACCTGGACTATTTCGACTGTTGCAAGAGGGTGAGACATTGGATGATTTACGCAAGCTTTCACCGGAACAAATCCTGATACGTTGGGTTAATTATCATTTAGCAAAGGTATTCTTTTGCAGTTCACTTAGATACCATAAGTTTCTACTTCTGCCACCAAAAATGAGACGACATTTGGTTTATTCTTTAAAAATTTTTTCGAGCCACAGTAGCGTTTGAAGCACGAAAAGTGCAGGAGTTGGTAATTTCTTTATATGAATTTCTTAATTGGTTGTACTCAACATTTTATATTTAGTGTTGCTGTTTGTTAACCACGGCGATTTTGATGGAATAAAGGCAAATTCAATGTGATTTTATTTTATATTCATTTATTTGATCTAAAATATTTAAAGGTTGGCTTGAATCGGACGTTAACGAATTTTACCGCAGATGTTATCGACTCGGAAATTTATACTTATTTACTTAGTGAAATTGCTCCAAAAGCGGCTAATGTCTCCCTTTATCCGCTTTCTGTTAAGGTATGTTAAGTTTCTCATTTCTTAATTTTAATCGGTGGCAGCATTTAAAAGCGCTGTCGGTTAAAATCAATATTGACTTGTTTTGCGTAGTAGAGTTTTATGCTACAATACACGGTTTTCTTGTCTGTTTTCGAAGATTGTATGGTTTTACCAAAGCCAGTGCTATTGTTTTTTTTTTTAATCTTGTTATCTTTATTTACTGTTTTCTTCAATTATCTTCCAACGTACCTAAGAATTTGGTATTTCTTTGGTTGTATTAACCTGTTTACCATTAGTTGCTCATTCACTTCACTGTATGGAAGGATTTTCGATTAGCTTAATTGTGCAGTACATCTCTGTTCATTGTTGCTAAAATGTCTACATTATTTTTTTCACATTTGAATATTGCTACTGCACTGCGCAAGTGGGAGGCAGGCATCACATGTCTTTGCCTGTTATGATGTTTTAAAACTTAATAGTCTCACTGCAAGTGGTTTAAGGTAAAAAGCGAGCTAAATGTAAATGTTTTAACATAAAATATAATTTATAAAGAGACATATTAAAATTTTTTGGATTAGATTAGGAATTTCACAGTTTAGGTGTAATTCACCATGGGAAAGTTTTTAGTATTTACTTATGTTGTCAAATAGAATATGCACTTGAACAATCTTTACAATCAAATATGTCTTACTTCACATCCATCAAGTCTTTTGTATATATGCAATTATGAAAATAAGGTCGGTTGAAAATTTAAGTGTTACCAGTTATTATATAATAATAATTATTATTATTATCAATTTATCATTATTGTTGTTATTATTAATGACAATAATAAACAATGATAAATGATGATAATAAGAATAATAATGATAAATAATAATTAATGATAAAAATTAATAACAATAATAATAATAAAGAAAGGGTATTTAGTGAAGAAGAAAGGGCATTTAATCATCCTTACAGGGAAACATACAAAGAGCAGCGGCTATGTTAAATGAAGCTGAGAAGATAGACTGTCGTGAATTTGTTGCACCGAACGATGTTGCTCAAGGGAACTATAAATTAAATCTAGCATTTGTTGCCAATCTTTTCAATAAATATCCAAACCTTCCGGAACCAGGAACAGATGAGTTTGGTGAGTTTTATGGTCATCGCATCAAGAGCGATGAATGAAGAACAAGGGTAGTTCTAACCTATTAAATCATAAGTTATGATTTTAGTAGGGAAGGAAGGAAGGTTTTTTTTCATTTTATTAAGAGCTTCGTCATGGTCATGCCTCACTAAAGAATTCGGACTTGCTTTTTAGTTCCATTTTTGTTTTGTTGTCTTCTTTTAATGCAGTGAGGTTTAAGTTTTTCCAGAAATTGATGCTGTTGATGAAACACGTGAGGAAAAGACGTATAGAAATTGGATGAACAGTATGGGTGTTGACCCACACGTCAATTGGCTCTATAGCGATCTTTGCAGCGGTGTTATTATTTTTCAAGTTAGTTTCATCATATTTAATGTGGTTATGAGAGACAACTTTAGTGGATAATTTATAAGAAAGTTGCCATCTAGCTAACAAACAAACAAAAAAATAACTGGTTTGTGGGCTTGACACTATACGCCATTATTGAACTGTTGGGGTTTTTTCAGCTTTATGATATAATTCGCCCCGGAATAGTGAATTGGAAACGTGTGGTTAAGAAGTTTTCCAAATTAAAAGGTATGATGGACCAAATCCAGAACTGCAACTATGCAATTGAGCTTGGTAAACAGCTGCGATTTTCTTTGGTTGGAATACAGGGCAAAGACATTTATGATGGCAATCAAACGCTTACACTTGGTTTGCTTATTCATAATTTCGGAGAAACTATACGTGAGATCAATTATTCGGAATAGACGTTTATTAATGGTTATTACTAAGATGAATACGCTGATTAAATATGATTATAAGATAGGAAGCATTATTTTGGGAGATTTTGAAGAGCTTTAGAAATAAAAGCATCAGTGTTAAAATGAGGGAGATTTTGACATTGTCAAATGTTGCACAGTGTACTTTCTTTTCAGCTTTGGTTTGGCAGCTTATGCGTGCTTATACTTTGACTGTGTTAGCGCAGTGTACACAGAGTGGTGATTCTTTGGCAACTGATAAAGAAATTATTGCATGGGTGAATAAAAAAGTACGTTCCGTGAACAGTACTTTCCCCGTCAATGTAGCAATATTGTAACACCTTGTAAAAGTTTGCAGATTTTATGTGTTCGATTTTTTTATCTTCATTCGAAACTTTATGACCATGAAAGATCATTTTTGAAAATCTGCGAATGTGTGCTGATGATCGCTTTTCTCGTTTGCAGTTAGCCTCTTCTGAGCGAAAAAGAGCTATAAAGAGCTTTCAAGATCCAACAATTTCTGACGCTTGTGTTGTTCTCGACCTTATTGAATCAATCAAGCCAGGCACAATCAGTTACTCACTCGTAAAAACTGGTACTGCCGAGGTTATTTTTATCTTTAGCTATTGATTTATATACTTTAACTCTCTATTTCAGCTTTGTTTCACGATGAAATGACTATATGAAATATGGTACTTTCAATTAAGTTTACCGGTTCTTATTTGCATACTTATCATGTTCGTTTGTGTTGCTAAAAAATAAAAATTCCAAATCAGTTATCTTCTTACAGGATAATTTAGAAAATGCAAAATACGCAATCACGTCAGGACGCAAAATTGGTGCAAAAATCTATGCTTTACCAGAAGACATAGTTGAGGTTCATTACCTTTTCATTTGCATAAAAATCGTTATCTGGAGTTTCATTTGAACTTTTGACATATAAGTTTTTTAGGTTAAACCGAGAATGGTGATGACCGTCTTTGCGTGTTTGATGGCACGTGATTATACGCCGAATGTGAAGGAAATGTCATCAGTAGAGCCACTCAAAAACCATGAATAATTATTGAAGTTCTAAAATGATGATTCTTCTGCTCATTGATCTTGTTTTAAACATGCTCGCTTTATACTCGTGCTCCTTTTATGTAATCAGTTAAAAGATGCAATGAACAATAAAAATAAGAATCGTGAATTACATTAATGAAGATTACGAAGTTATTGTAAAACATAATTTTTATAAAAGTTGTTGTATTGCTTAAAAGGAGATACTGCATTTCAGTTGATAAATTACCACATTGATTCTGTGATTTTTTCTTGTTGTGTTCATTTAATGATCATTGCATACATACATATCTTTGGCGACCATTCCTCTATTCACCGCTGTGAATAGTGTTCATTTTGTTGTCTGGTCATCAGTAGTTTCATTACATTGGCATAGGATTATTTATTCTATGTTTTCAAATGTACTTCGTAATTTATATTTCTGATTGTACCACAGTGTCGAATTCCGGTTGCACACTTTAGGAGTCAAGACCTTCACTGGGATAAAAAAGAAGTAAGCTCTCATGTTCGGCCTTCTGTGATTAGCTGCAATTTTATATTTTATTTGTATTTATGCCTTAATTTATCTCTTGTTATTTCGATGTAATAACATACTTGCGAAGTTACTATCATATGTAAAAACAATTCGAAAAGTAAGCTGGGGAAACGCTTCATATACCATTTTCAGAAGGCACATTTGGCTACAGCACTGTTACAACAATGAATTCTCTGACTTAATAGATCACGTATATAGGAGCAGTCGTTATCCTTCAAGTGAAGGTGACTGACACCTAAAGTGGTTCAACCTACGTCTTCCAATGGCCCTCCACGTCGACCATTGTTGAAAACGTCCCGAACAGAGCTTTCCCGTCGAGAGACCACTTTCATTTCAACAAGTTTTGAGGATTTTGAGTCATATGAGTTATTTACATCCTAAAATTGGCAAGCGCATAGATAATTTGCGTGCTATTTCGAGTGTGGCGGCATCAGATGTCCTTTATATTGTTGAGGTTTTGTACACGTATCTGATTGCACAGTAGTTTTTAAAACGCAGTTACAAGTTGACTGAAGCGAACATTTAAAAAAAAGGTAGCTTGTCAATTAATGAAGATTAGAGATGAGTGCTGTGATTTTGTTGATTGTGGCATAATTCACTTGAATGAACTGAATCTTTAAATCACTTTACAGTTTATTATGCAGTATGGAGTAATGAATTTACGAAAGAACCAGAACTCGGTTTCGAGCAATTGTGAGACAAGCTTTGTAAAGCAATGGCTATTAGGTAACTTCTGCTAGAATAGACAGTGATTGGCATAAAGTAACCGGTGAATAGGACAACGGACAAGATGGTAAATAAATGATGAAACCAAATTCGGAGGATGAAAAAAGATATGGAATTAGTATATAGGCATGGAGATTTTTGAACGGAGAGCACTCCTTTTGTGAACCAAGGATGCGATGTCTGACTCGGGCACTGTCCATTGTGTCTCAAGCTTCCATGTTTTTCCATACTGAAAATTTCTTCCAACACTTGTGGAGCTGTTGTACTAATGCTACTCTTCTCCAGTATCAGAAAACATTGTTTCAAAATAATTTATTTGGAAGCATTAAAAAAAAGCTTTGTTATAATTTGTCTCTATTTGAAGTTATCCAGTTTTATGAACGGAAATTGTTCAAGCATTTGCCGACCCCATTCCTTCACATATGAATGCATTTTACTATTTGAGATTGTTTATCCCAAACTGATAAAAACTTATTTACAGAAATTTCTTTCGTTCGTCATATACAAGAATTTATGGAACATGGAAATCAGATACTTAAACTGAAACTAATACCTACAACTAACTGATCGGCCATCTCACCAACATACACGTGAAATGTGATTACCGAAGTTACTAGTAGCAGAATGATGTGTTATAAGTGATGTTAAAATTATGCATTGGAATTCCGGTCATTGTCAGTAGTCAGTCGGTAAGCTAAAAAATATTCTCACTCGTTTCATTCAGCATGGCATTAATCCAATTAAATTAGCACTGGCTGATTAAGTACTGTTTAGAAAATTGATTTAATTTGAAACTGTTATGGAACAGCCTATCAATGTCATATCAAAGCTCTACCCGTCCCGCCGCATTTTTTGTACGATGCTTTTATATGTTTACACCCTTTGCACATTATTCAAGGTAACTTTTCTGTGCCACATCAATCACAGTAACACAGTGCAGAAACAGTGAGGAAAGAGCAGCAAACTAATGGCCGATAATTAAAAACTATAGTTTTATCCGTCAATTTCACACTTCAAATTAATAGACCATTTAATCTATCCATTTTTTTTTAATTTAACAATTAGCTCTGAAACCAGTTCCTCCACAGCATTACTACTTTACTAGCTAATGCTTCATATGCCTCCCTTTGACATCATAATTAACAAATTCATTTCTCAGTTTCACCTTTTTAATGATCTTTTTTATTAACCCCTAAAAGTGTGAAACAACAGTGAATCTGTACATAACCTATGTTGGAAGACTAATTAATACAATCCTATAAATTAGCACAGAGAAGAAATGCTCACCAAACATAGTTTGATTTTTTTTTTTTTTTAATGAAACATTTTACATGAAACGACATGTTTATACTTATAAAACATTCATTGTTGTTGGCTTCAGATTTCTTTTAAAAAACTAAAGCTTTATATTAAATTGATTTTTTTTTTAAAATACTTATAATGGACACTCCAGAACAAATTTTCAGGTCCTGAAATTTTGCATGTGTCTGGTAATGTCGGAGTAGTGTGCTATTTGGACGTTTCGCATATTTGTCCTAAATTCATTCGCTCAACTAAACTGTCTCACGCCTTTTGTGATCTCAAAGGTTTAAGCAAATTGTCTTCTAATTACTTGTTTAAAATGCTTTTACTGAACGAACACTACGAGAAAATCAATTGTGATTTTGTAAAAGAAAAAAGTTTTTTTTTTTTTTTTTTCGGTATAAAAAGTTAGTAACAATTAATAATATAGCAGCGATGATAAGTTAAAAGGGTGAGTCTCACTTTATATTTGAATACGTTGTTGGTCGCTCCAAAACAATAGAAAGTTTATTTTTTTCTTTTTACACCCATATTGACTCATAAGATATGCAGATCTGGAACCGTATGGAATCTGGGCAAGTCAGGATTAATTCATTAATACAACAGGGTCATTAGAACTTCATGGACTTCTGCTCTCATTATATCTCAACACTTTTGAAAAACTATCGAATTATTTTCGATTAAAGGTGTAACTGCTAAGCGGAATTTTCATATTTTCTGTATGATTTCTACAGACAACTAAATTGGACTTCTGTGGTAAATCTTTTTTCCCAGAAGAATTCATGTAGTTACTGAATGATAACATTGTAGTGATAACGAACGGTAGTGGTAATTTTGCAAAACATTTATTGATATAAATATCTGATATAGTTTGGTTCCTCTGTTTTCTGTCAACAAGCTTCATCACTTTTTAATATATTCATCAGTCAACTGTTTTTTAACTGAGCGATACAGCCTTTTTCTTATCACTGATTGTTTAGAACAACAAATGATTAGCAAATTTAATATATGTGACATATAATGGTTGTGTTTGTCGAAAAAACCGAAAAACTGGAATTTATGATATATGTTATTGCAGCAAGATATTTCAAATTAATGTAATAAATTGCTCTAGCCTTATAATGATGGCGCTAATTTGTAATATTTGGGATATTGCAGGCACATTCCAATTTAATTTCTGGTATTTTAGGGATTTCCCTATTTGATAATGAATAAACCAATTTCACTATATAAAAAGTTATTCTGAAATTATTATCGATTATATAAATTTTCTCTCCGATGGAGAATTTTTTTTTCTTTTTTTTTTTTTGTTTAGGAGAATTTTCTCTGGAAATTTTCGAAATTTTGGTAAGGTTTGATGGTTTTCTTTAGGAGAGAGTTTTTTATTTCTTGATCTTGGAGCATTAAATAGTAGTACAATTAGTGAAGTTTGTCGTAAAGGAGGAGTCTCTTGCTATTTATATTTACATGAAGTATATATATATATATATATATATATATACGTGTCTAAAAAAATGGAAGTAGTTAACATAAATCACCTGGTAATTTCTTATATTAAATAAAAGGCCGTTATGACATATGAGATAAGGAAACGAGAAACATTATTTAAGAGTAAACAGCAAGAAAGGGAAGGACGATGGAATGTAAATATCGGATCAGAAACATTTAAGGATAGCAATTTGTGCGATGAAACATCTGAGGACAAGCATTTGCAGCGTATATTATTAGACATATTTATTATAAAATGATTTGGGAGTTTGTGACATTCGAAGTTCGCGACATCTGTCAACCTAAAACAGCTGTACGTTCCAATCAAATCCTTCATCTAACAACAATCTGAATTGATCCAGCCAATCGCCTGCTGACTACGAAAATAAGACCAAATTGGTGATCATTTTTAATCTAGATGTTCTTTGATTATTTTTCTATAACATTTATAAAGAATAACACCTCCTTCAATAATTCATCTGTTTCCAAATCATGCAAAAAAGAATTTCATCAAGTTATTCAAAACAAAAAAAAATTTTCACTACAGTGTTTGACACTGACTATCATAGTGTTAGGCAGTATTGTAGGTTTAAGAAAATTTTTGAAAGAGTAAACAACAACGATACATGTTGAAATTATTTCAATGTTCAGCAGAACTTCTTTTTGAAACGAAATAATAAGATGTATTTCAAAGTTTGGTTACTTTTATTATCTCGCTTCCAGCGAGATAGACATGTTTTAGATCTCCTATATTTATCGGAGAGTTTTCTTTGCATTATGCTTCTCATTTGAAATATTCGCTATTCATCTGTTGAACTTAATAAAATTAAAATATGCATTATAGTAGAAAAAAATTTGCACATATATAAAATATTAGCAAAGCAGCTTGAAACTTATTCCCGTCAGAGAACATATGATTCGCATGTTGTTAAAAATATGATGAGTTCACATGGATATCATAAGAAAGACTCATAATTTTAGTTGTCAAACCATTATCTTCAAATCATCTGATCTTTTAAGATAGTAAATGATTTCTAGATTGAGATATCAAAATAGATTAAGTAGATTTATTTATTTATTTTTTTTTTAATTAAGGATGAAAAGAGATAAAGGCCAAGGACTTTTAGTAATTTGAATATGTTTTTGTTACTTTCTCAAAATTAAATTGGTCTTTTTCTCAGTGATGTATTTCATATAATATCCACCGCAAAGAAATATACATTAGCAACGCTATTCTCTAGCATTTCTGATAATTCCTCAGTAAAAAAATTTCAGCCTTCCGTTTCATGAAAAATTTGATCATCTTTTTTATTTTCGGGTAGTGGTTATATTTTAGGCAAACTTTTGGAATAATTTGTTTATTGAGGATATGCTTCGAAAAGTATTGGTTTTATATATAGGTTACATTCCTGTTTTCTCTGCACTCTTCATCTTGATAAACTTAAAAACATTTTCAAATTAAAGTTCTTGTTAGTGTTAGGACTTCACATTTAGCACAAAGTAATATTAACAAAAGTGAGATAAAATTTTTTGCGATTATGTGAAAATTATGTTGCGGCATTTCGTATAACTTTCACTTATTTTTATTTGTTATCGTGCATGACTGTAAGTAAAATCATATGTTTAATGCATATATAATTTTAGAAAAAAAACTGCATTTCACTACAACAAGCTTTTACAGTGCTATTCGAAAGGTGTATCTTCTGAAGTTATTTGCGGAAGTGCTTACATTATATCAAATGATAGAAATCCTGTGATTTGAGAATGACTGATAGAATATCAAGTGATCACACGAGCTGAAAGTGAAAGCAAATTTTTTACGACATGCATTTTTTCTTGAAATTTGGAAGTTTTGGTCAAATTTGAGTGATATTTTCTGAACTCCCACGACTCTTGCTTTTGCGTTACTACCTGGAACTTTGAGAAAAATTGAGGTGCGAGCGCTTGTGAACGCATTTACAAGCACCCAATCATAGTGTGGAATCTCATTCATATGGTGTAGCTTGAGAGTATTTAATCTCATTTTACATTTTATTATATTTATGGTGACGTTGCATAGCAGTGAAATGTTTTTATTTTTATTTTTTATATTATTTTATTTATTTATATTTATTACTTTAAAACAATGGTTTGTTACTGTCCGGAGAATCTCTAACCAAATGATTTCAAAATCCTCTACTTTTCTTGCAAAGATTTCAAAAGAAATCATATTTTTAGTTCCTATAATCATCGAATGACCTGTTTGCCGCTTTTCTGCTCATCCCTTTACTTTTACTATGTATTTCAGTAATAGCAGAAACAATTTCTTTGAAGATTTCAGGTAGGGAGTGGATGTTATTGTTTGGAGAACAACATTAACTTTCATCTTTGAAACATTCTACAACGACATCGTTGGGGAGGGGGGAGAGATGTCACATGTTAGCAAATATTTCATTTTAGATTACTTTTTTTACACACCCAGGCGGACATAGTCATATGCTTTCAATTTGTTTGGACTTTTTTTACTTAAATTCAGTCTATTCCAGTAATACCGTCATAAGCACAAAAGTTTGGATAGATAAAATTCTTTTATTTGAAAAAAAAGATACGTCAAACCAATTATACATCAGAACACCTTTTACGATCTTGCGAGCAAAATTTTCTACCCATAAGTTATGATAAGCAATGAGTGTTTAACGACGGTTGGTGTTCCTGGTAGTGCAAAAAGAGTGCATCCAATTCGTTTTACAAATCGGATATGGGTACAAACGACCAAAAAATTAGCTGTAAGATAAAGC